AGTAGAATCATGAATCAATAAATGGGATGGATTCAAACTAAAAATCTTCTCTTAGCAAAAAACAAACAATTAATGAAGTGAAGAGATAGCCTATAAAACGGGAGCAAATTTTTACCACACGCACATCAGATAGAGCACTGATCTCCAGGATATAAAAAGAACTCAAAAAACTTAACACCAACCCCCCGCCCTACACAACCCAATCAATACATGGGCTAAGGAAATGAGCAAATACTTTACAGAAGAAGATGTACAATCGACCAACAAATATATAAAAAAAGTTCAAGAGAAATGCAAATCAAAACTACTCTTTAAGATTTCATCTCACTCGAGTCAGAATGGCAATTATTAAAAAAAATCAAGCAACAATAAGTGCTGGTGAGGATGTTGGGAAAAAGGTACACTGATTCATTGCTGGTGAGATTGCAAAATGGCACAACCACTTTGGAAAGCACTATAGAGATACCTTAGAAAACTTGGAATGGAACCACTATTTGACCCAGCAATCCCACTCCTCTGTCTATACTCAAAGGACTTAAAGTCAGCAGGCTACAGAGGTGCAGCCACCTCAATGTTTATAGCAGCTCAATAGCTAAACTGTGGAAACAGCCTAGATGTCCCTCAATAGATGAATGGATAAAGAAACTAAAGAAACTGTGATATATATATGCAATGGAATACCACTCAGTCTTAAAGAAAAATGAAATTATGGCATTTATGGGTAAACGGACAGAATTAGAGAATATCATGCTCAGCCTCCTGAGTAGCTGGGATTACAGGTGTGTGCCACCTCACCCTGCCTATATACTTTAAATCATCTCTAGATTACTTATGATATCTAATATAGCTATGTAAATTGCTGTAACAGTGTATTATTCAGAGGATAATGACAACGTAAAACCTTTGTATCTGTTTACCATAGACACAATTCCCTCTCCTCTCTTTTTTTATGGTGCTTGTGTTACAGTGGCCACTCCTTTGCAAGTCCTCCTTTGTAAGATTATATCTCCTCCCTTTTCCTTTCTGCAAGATTATTTCCTCTTCTTGCCTTTTGCAAGGTTAAGTTTTTCACTTATGTCTGGCATTGTAAATCCTAAAGAAAAGCCACACCTAAATGATAAAAATGTTAACTGCTAAATAATCTTTCTTAGATTTACACAGAATATCTGGTGAGCTTTAGATAACATCAGAATATGTAACAATTTTCTTTTCTTTAGTTCTATTCTTCAACTAACACTAAGTACATAAATTGTCAGGAGCTTTAATGTACAGAAAAGTAATATGTCAACATGTCAAGTCAATCTGTCTAAGAACTACAGGTGTCATAAGGATTTAGAGTCTTTACTTGGGCCTGCAAATGCTCAATGAGCCACTAACAGCAGAATTTAAAAAAGCTTAGCACCTCCATCTCCATTCTGCATCTAATTCCTTTGCTCTGAGTTGACTTGGATCTAGGAACAACAGGTCTGGTCAATAAAGCATCTTGTAATGAGCCGAAACCACTTGCTAGGCAATAGGAACTTTCTTACAGCAG